TTATGAAAAAGCACTGGCCTACCCTGTGCCATAACTCTAGTCTGGGCTATCGGTCAAGTTTAGATTCGTATTTCTATGTACCGGGGGTTCGGCCTCTAACCGAAAAACATTTGACATTGGACATGCTATATTTGAAAGACGTATTCGGGAACATTGAAATGGCGTCCACTCTTATCACGGAATTCGGAGTATTTGAAAACGGACATCCGCTGCTCACCTATCTGGAGAACAAATTGATCCAGATCAAAAGCGGCGGTACGTCTTTTCGACAGTACGTCTTGTCACTAGTGGACTTCCACGAACACGTGATTCGAGCGTTGAACACGATGATGTTACGGATCTATTACGATTTCTTCGAGAAGTTGAAAACGGTAGACCAAGACAAGCGGGAGGAACACGTGAAACAATTTTTTAGACCATACAACGATTGGTGTGTTTTTTTACACCTGCCCATTTATAACTTTTTTCACCAAAAACTCGTGCCCGATTCGCAGGATTACGATAACAATTTTACGGAAATAACCATCAACGACTTACAGCAACGGGTGATTGCCAACTTGAGGGAACAGGACAACAATTCAAAGGTCGCCTTGTACAATCACACGGCCTTGTCATTAGAGAGGATCAACATCGACGCACAGCACTTAAAGGTCATCGCGGTCGAATATGAAATTCCGCTCGACCCTGTATTTCTAGCCTCGCTAAAGGATCCGACTCAAAAGAACATTCTATGCACCGAAGTTTTGATTGGATTGATGAAAAAGATATTTGACGGCACTCACTATAAAGCAATCCACTCGTTGGGCAAGCTCGGAACATCGAAAAACTTCAAGCGATTTTGTAAGTTCGAGCAGCAATACCACGAGGACGTGTTTTCGCGTGAAGATGATAATTTTTCTATTGAAGTTTGTGGCACTCAAACGATTTAGTACTAATACTGTTTTACCACAACGTACGAATCTTCGTTATTAAAGTATTATTATACTATAATCATTATTTCATTATTAAAACATTGAATGATATCATAATATTATATTTAATTTGTTTAATGATCACAACCTTGTATTATTCATTTACTCTACATTAAATAATTTTCATATCAACGGTATCTGTGATTTTGGTTGTAATGTCGTATATAAAATATAATAAACTTGTTTGTTAAAAAGGAAAATTTGAAAAGACGGCCAATTTGCCGTCAATGCGAGCGGATGAAGGATATTTCTATTATTTTTTAAATAAACATTTTTGGTCAATATTTTATATGTTCCAATGTTGTGTTAGAGGTAATTGACTCTAAATATTTCAAAAAATCCACCTTAAATAAAGAATAACTCACGAAAATGATAAAAAAATAAGGATGGCCAAATTGCCGTCCTCGCGAGCGGCAGTGTAACTTTTGAGGCGCGAGCGCATGAAGGTTAATGATCACAACCTTATATTATTCATTTACTCTACATTAAATAATTTTCATATCAACGGTATCTGTGATTTTGGTTGTAATGTCGTATATAAAATATAATAAACTTGTTTTGTTAAAAGTATTTTTTAAAACCTTATATTCTTGGTAATTATTTAGTCGGTCAAGTGAAAAACTATTGATAGTCTGGGTCATAATCTAATTTCTTTATAACATTAAGTTTACTATGATACTTTTATTATTAAAACCACCGGTTTAATAATATTATAATACGTACGTTTTTTAATAGTGTAGATTCAGTTTAGTTAAATATTCACAAAAATATCTAACGACTTTTTTATCATTACATTATGAACTCAATAATAAAAAATGTGTTAACTAAAAAACAAGATATACGTAGGTGGGAAAACATTTGTTTATGTATTATTGGTTTTTATAGAAAATTTGTATTTGTTATAATTTATGTAACAATATGGTACTATCATTCACGAACATTCAAACGTTCTAATACACAAATAATAAAACATGATATCACCAAAAAAAAAACACTTTTTTCCATAAAAAAAGTAATAGTGTTACTATAAAATATGTATTTTTAAAATACAATAGTTCTCTTGACGTAAAATCTTAAAAAATGTTTGATGCCAACAGTTTTTTGTTTTTTGTTTACATTATGAAACGATTCAAAACGTATTGTCGGTTTTTGTACAATACAGACATTTTAACTAGAATTATAAAAATACTAGTTGATATATGTAAAAACTTATTTGTATATGCAAGGATAGAATCACTTTCAAATTACCACTTTGATATGTATAATTATATGATGTCTTCTAATAAAGTGTTACGAACCCCTGAATATTATAATATGTTTTTTATATGTGTGTAAATAATATTATAAGTTAAGAGCATCAGATAGTTGGTGTTGGCCACGACCAAGTCGAATGGTATTCGCTGACTTAGGGATTTAGCACTTGTCAGACACACTCGGCCGTGCCCCCCCACCAACGGTGAGTTAGTCGTGTGACAGCAGAGCATCCGTCTTGTCTTAAGAATTACCATTCTGTTTTCAGAGTATCTAATAAGTTATTTGTAATTGTGTAAATTAACTATCCTTTTTTGTTTAAAATTGTTTATTTGTGTTGTTTTATAATACAAATCAGAAAATCCGTCGAAAGTTGCGTTAAAATTACTGAATTAAACCTAAATCTCTTCCTCAAACCGTGGCTCATGTTACAAAAGTCTTGGTAATTAATATTCTGGACATACCTAATGCTGAGTGCTAATTCTGATTATAGTCTGGGCATCTTCCAAATGACAGCTTGACAGTATAAGTAACAAACGTTTGATCTCTTAGTAGTACTCTAATAATCTAACGACCACCACAGCCTTTCAGTACTGATCTGGGTATTTAAGCGGCCATCTCTGATAACTTATCGTCTCCGTGATTTTACGTAATGTACATAGAGAAGTCGTTTGTACCTCTGTGCATTATTAGCAAGAAGTTAAAGTAACTTAATCATTGCTAAAGAAACGATTCCTGTAAGGCCATAAGGATACGGACAGTAATCTGGTATAAGGTATTTGTTTCCTAGTATGCTGAATAAGTTGTGAGAAAGTTTTAAAAATATAACGCGCACTTGCGCATGAATTGTTTTATCAAATAACAAGAATATATTTACCTTAAGTTGCTGGTACTAAATTATATGTCCTCTATGCTAAAGTACGATATAACAAAAACCACGCACAGTCTAATCCAACTCCTAGGAGAGAAGTTGAATGAAACTTTAGTCTGATAATTATTTTTAAAAGATGCATGCCTAATAAATGTTTGATAAAAATGTCCACTCGATCAGACCATTTTACACGAAAAAAAAAAAATGATACCCAACGTCTCATGAATATTCCTTTGCCCAAGCTCAAATTAATTAGTCCTAATAATAAAATATGCAAAAATTGTATTTTCGAATTATAAGACACATAGCACATTTAACAACATTTAATGTAATACTACTTAATAAAATTCAACAACATTTAACAGTTAACAACACATTTTAAAATCAAAATCTAGGAATAATAATAACAATAACAAAAACAAAAATTGGTAATGTACATGTATGAAATGTATTGGTAGAAATTCATATTAGCTCAAAAATTACAAATATATCAAGTAAAAAATAATAATTTAATATTATATTTTTTAACAAAACTATAGCTTCACAGATACATTATTATTCTTATTGAATACATTTAAATAAGGTTATTAGCTAGTATAATGTAACTCTAATATAATGTCTATTACATTTGTTTTGGTAAGAATAATGTAGTTAGTATGATTTTAAAATTAACGATACACTCTCATAATTTTATTGTATCTACGATAATTTTTTTATTTTTTATTTATAATAGCCTTTATTGGATAATATGATGGCTCAAAAGTTTTATAATATTATTTAAACAACAGTTATAAGCACTTTACAATCAGGAAATATTATGTACATAAATATATCTAAAAACAGTATAATTTAAGAAGAGATAGAATTAAGTGTAGACAAAAAACCAATTGGTAGAAAAGAGAAAAAAAAAGTAGAGCTCAAGATAAAAGAAATTATGGCATAATTTACAGAAAAAACTCGAGAATTAAAGATAAATGCAGGATTAGGATTAGAAATGTCATGCAAGGCTAAGAAATAAAAAAGTGAGATTCTTTCGGAACCAAGGGTGGGACAGTCTCAAAAAAAGATGAGAAAAGTCACCGATGGCTTTCTCTATGCAGATCATGAATCGGGATTAAATTGTGACTAATTCTGATTCTACGCCTCCGATATTATACTTACAAAATTGAACGTACATCTTTTAACTTTTAACTAAACTAAAATATAAAAATGAAATTTTAACGTTTTATTTTATTATATAAATCCTGTACAGAAATAATAAACTAGCGAACAAAAAAATGAGAACTAGATCAGTAAAAACTAGCACATTTTTTACTAAAACTAAGTATAATCCAACATTATCTAAATTAATTACAGAATAAACCAACAAAGTATAAATCAGTAATAGTGTAAAGAGAAGAAATAATGATAAAAAAGTTATTACGTCTGAATGAAATCTTCGCTTTAAATTTGTGAAAAGTAGAAAACCAGTATAGGGAAAAAATTAGTCAAGGAAAATTGTGAAGAAAAAACTGTAAACAAGACCATTAAAAACGAATACAGTAAAACCAGTAAGATAGTATTAACCAGTAATGGATGGTACTTGGACGCCACATTCGTAATTGTTTAATGTACTTGGTTCAGTCAATGTTTTGTTTGCTTGGTTTACACTATGCTGTTTTTAGACATTAAGGAGTGTAGTAATTAATTAAAAATACATAAACATCTACAATTATTAATGTATAAGTAAGCTTATGACAATATAGAATCAGTTGCGATAGCTTGCTCTCCAAAATGTGTTTTGTAGAACAATACAATTCCCATATACTCAGCTATGTTTATTACTTTTTTTACTTCAATCTCTAAAAAAGGAAAATTAAATATTTTTAGGTGGCAACCAACAATCATAGTTAAGTAAATAATTTAACTCAGTTTAAATTACCGTCGGAACCATCAAATTTTTTTAAAAAAATTTGCGCTTTTTCAAAAGTGAGCGAATCTTTTACTGACCCTTTGGTCATTAGTTCCAAAACAGTTTTTAACTTTTCTACAAAGAAGGCACATTCATCACCGGACAGTAAACCGTCTTCGTTCTCGTCGAGCATATTGAAGTTGCTTACGCAACTCACGACCTCGCTTTGATCTAATAATCTTGATTCCTAAATAATCATTTGAATACAAATTTATAACAGTTAACAATATAATAAAAGTGAAGAAATTTTCAATTAATGAAAAAAAATATGAATTATATTACATTTTTCTCAACCGTCCGACTGCGTTCTGCCGCATAGACGATTATGTCTATCAACAATTTTTCAGCGGGTCCTGTGCGAGTTTTAATTATTAGTTTTCCAATTATTTATTACATAATTATTTAAACATTTTTTATTCTTACGGTCGTGTTTAAATAGCAGATTCAATTCGTGTTCCTTGGTAGTTATACCAAGCTCTTCGAAGATTTTTTGACTAGCCACAGGATCAATGCTATGTGCTTCGTACAAACTAACGAACTTTTCTAATTGTGCTAAGGTCAGACCATTGCCCTAAAATGTACGAAAAAAGTATAAACACAAGCTTTTAGTAAGACTGTGTCTAATAAGCCAGTACAAGACACAATGTCCTGTATCACGTAACGCTTTGATCACTATACCCTGACTCCACTGTGCCCCGAGCACAATGTACTGGCTTTTTTTTAATTGAAATTAAATGTTTAAATGTTTTTTAGTTCCGGACTATAGTTTACTTTGAAATCTATTACAAACATAAATTATGATGTCGTCGAAAAAGCTTGCACTGGGGAGTTTTATATGTTTGATCATAATTTAGTCCGTAGAATTTTAGCTTTAAACTTGCCGAAGCAATCAAACATTTTACAGCCGTAATATCAACTCTAAGAGTGCCTAATCAGGTGTGATATTAAGTACTCTGTATTCTAAAATATTACATAAACAATTTTATACAAATTATTGGGTTTTCAGTTTATTACAAATTCATTGATCAAACGACCAATCATTTACCAAACACAAGAACAAATGGAAAAATCATTTAAAAAGAGCAGAGGAAATTAATCTTAATAGTTCAGTAGTGTATCTCCATAGAGCTCGAGTAATATATATAATTTTTTTTTACTAAATTATTTGCTATAAAGCAATATAAAATATTCAAACAATTGTTGTAAAGGCAATATGTTTAAATTTATAACTTTAAAAAAATTATTTTGAAAACTATTTTTCGAATTTTGAAAACACTGTCTTGGAATGCTCCAGTAATTTTGTTCAGATACGCTGCTCTATGCCATATTGATGTGAAAAGTAGTGATGATTCATCTACAACGTGCTGTTTATGTTTATATTTATTATCGCATATTATAATTGATATTTATTTGCATAATTTGATTCATATGATGGTAATATTTTTCTACAAATTTAGAATAGGCAGTTAAAGATTATCGAAAAACAGTTAAACTGAATCCTAAATTGGTTTGGTTCAATATTAAAATGTGTAGTGTTCAAGATATAAAGGTGATACAAATGTCTAACGGCAAGTATGTTGAAAATTACTTCCGCAAATTAAAAGAATTCGTTGTTAAAACAACCAGTATTATAACGTTACAGCGTGTATAGACACTAAAAACCTACATCATTTTAAGACCTATAGAATTGCTGCTCCGCATTGAAACTAAAATGTTTACAATTTGATTATATATCATGATTTTTTTAAGGAAAAATTTAAATAATAGAATGAATATTATGTTGTAAAATCAATGATAAAAGAATAATGGTAAATACAAGTTTTAAAAATCAAAACTAAATTCGAAAAAAACAAATTTTATCATTTAATTTTTATAAATTTAATTTCAATTTATTCTTTTTTAATTTTAATTATTAACTGATTTCGCATTAGTTTTTTTTAACATATTACACATTTTTAAGACAAAAACAATATTAGGATCTTCAATTTATTTATATTTTTGAAAATCCTTATTTTAGTTTTTTTTCTAAACTTATTCTATAAAATGTATCTAGAGTTTATATTTTCCCCATTATTTCGTACGATTATCAACTTACTTCTGGTTTGATTGCCAACATGATGAACAAGAAATCCGCCCCGTTCATTACATAGTTGCCTAAAATTAATTCAACAATAAGTAAAATCACTTAACTGCCTTTTCGGCTTATATTCATTACCGCCTTTTTTAATTTTAATTTCATTTGGTAATGCTTCCAATGCATCTTTTAGATTCAAACTCTTAAATAATCCTTGTAGCTGTCGAGGAGTAAGATATCCCGGTTGGTTATGAATTTCGGTGTGTGCAATGAACTCGCCGAGGTAATGTTCTACTTCAGTAGGCGTGAGATTTTTGACCTGAAAACAATTCATACATACAATTGGGTTATGGTCTGTTGACTTTTGGGTTAACCCAGCCAATATCTTTGAAGAAATTTGACTTTTGATAATTATCTTTTTTTTTTTTGTTATTTTATAGTTAGCAGTTTGCCAAATTTTATTAAATTGTCCATAATTAAAACATTGCCCCTTATACGTAAACCCCTTATGGACCTACAATTTTAAAATGGTAACGTTCACATTTAGCCGTCCACTCGCCGCCAATTATGCATTTTCTCTCAATTATCACGTAAGACGGTAGGGGAGACAGTGAACGCACACGACAATGCCCTGTTGACACTCTACCACGTTTGGATCACGACCTAATTAATCTCAAGCTATTACCTATTATTATTTGTGTTACTTAATTATTTTATAACTCTTTTAACTTCATCCACTTGCGTGTTTACGTTCAACACCGCCATTACCTAGGCTAGCTACAGAGAACGCTTTAGGATCCACACAGAGGTGTAACATAACATTTAACTATTTAATAAAACTGTTACTATTCGTTGCGTATTTGGGAGTTAGGTTATTTAACAATACGACCGCACGTCTTAGTAAACGTATGAAGGAGACTTTAGGTTTATATTTTAAGTGCAGACACAGGCTAGCCACCCGTTCCTACTAGGATTAGATAAATTAGATTAGCCAACTAAACAAGCAAGCACGTTACAATCTGATGGAGACGCTGGCAAACCCCACGACTGGTTTTCACGCCAAACGACGGTTTCGGGCATATCCAATACAGGTGCGTGGTCGTTGATGTAGCACAATGATCACTTTGGTGGACACTTGGGACTGCCGCCTTCGTCGCTGGCTAGTACCGCCACCTGCCACGTGGCGTTCCCGTTGGGCGGATCATGGTCCAACGAAAGTTATCCGGTGTTGTTGATAGTCATCAGTTTCTATTGTGCTTTCCTCATCGCCAAATAAACGATAATCTGGTCTTGGATTTCCGGGTCGTACGCTTTCAGGTTAGTTATGCATCCGGGCACCAGCTGTTCTTCGGTGATAATGATGTTTCCCTCATGCTGGCGGAACTTGGGCGGGTTGTCAAATCGATACAGTACAAATCGTACTGTACCGCACTGTTGATGTGCGACCAGGAAGTGGTCGTTTTCAACACGTATGGTCTTTTTGTGGTGCAATAATCGCGCAAGTGCGGTTTACCGTTGTCGGTCGCTCTGAACGTGACTCCTTTTCCCGAGCTGTTTCGTCTCGGTCAAACATGTATCTGGCCGTGATCTCTCCGGCTTGCGATTCAATGGAGAACTTGGGCCATTCGCCCAATGAGGTAACAAACGTGTACGTGATGGTACCGCCATTATCCGGAGGGTCTCTGTCCATGTCTTTCACGGTGAACACACAGTGTTGGTTGGTTGTTCTTCCTCAGCGCGGTCTCCCCTACCGTTTTGCATGATAATTGAGAGGAAACGCAAGTAAAGCATAATTAAAAGGTGAGTAGCAACGGATGACTAAATGTGACCGTTACACATATATGTTATTAACTTTTTCAAACGAGAATCATTTGGTGAAAATTTCGACTGGTCAACAACCGGTTTTCAATAAATAATATTAATGAAACTAAAGTTTAACATTACTCAGCCACAACTTTAAACACTCAATATTTTTAATATTAAAAGTTATATTGATAAACAAGTCGATTCATTAAGGACAACACACTTATTTCATAACAGCAAGTAAGAATTTCGTATTTTTATCTTTTTGGAAAACACTTTACGTGAATAGAAACGTTTAATTTTGCCATTTGAGTTTCAAACAATATTAAAAAAAGTAATTTTAAAGTAAATTAGTATTTTTATATATTGTAAAATTGCATAAAGAAAAACTACATAATCGCAATTATAATAGTGTTATATCCTTAATTAATCACCCTGTATACCATTTAACAATTTTGAATCCAAAGGGTTTTAACTTATAAGGAAAGTGGTTAGATTGTAGAAAAATAGATCACATATTGTCTTACTTACAAGCTATAATAGTATGAAAAACAATAATTAGATAATTTACACGAAACTAATGCGCATATTTTAATTTCAGTTTCGATATGCTCATAGCTGGTAAATATATACAGAGTGATCCACTTATCGTGAACCACTCAATATCTTATAGGGTTTAATTAGAAATTACATTTTTTTCTCATATTGTTTTTATACAATGTGATCACAATTTTACACAATTTTTTTGTTTTTACCCCCCTCCCAACTTGGTTTTTTGATAGAAACTTTTGAAACTTAAACGGTAACGTATATATTTTATTAACTTTTTAAATTGAGAATAATGTACTAAAATTTTTGATTGGTCGATAACCAGTTTCGGATAACTATTTTTAAAGCTATAAGAGTTTTAAAGTTAGGATGGGAGGGGAAGTGTGGTTGGGAAATGCGCGCAGATAAAAATAATACCTACTACACTCCACCTTTCCTCCTGGCCTAAACTTGAAACTTCAATAACTTCAAAAATAGTTATCCGAAACTGGTTATCGACCAGTCAATTTTTTACATTATTCTCAATTTAAGAAGTTAATAAAATATATACTTTACCATTTAAGTTTCAAAAGTTGCTATCAAAAAAACTAAATTAGAAGGGGGGTAAAAACAAACAAAATTGTGAAAAATTGAGATCACGTTGTATAAAAAAATTATGAAAAAAAAAATTTTAATTTCTTATTAAACCCTATGAGATATTGAGTGGTTTACGATAAGTGGATCACCCTGTATATATATATATATATACATTTTTTATTAGAGTTTAAACTAGATAATTTAAGATAGAATACCTTGGTTTTATCGGCGTTTTTATTGTCATTCTTCGCCAACACCATCAATAAATCATTTAAATTAATTAATTCGGGCACATCTATGTATATAAAAATGTATTAGTTCGTCCGTCGACTGATTTTTAATATAAATCAGTATAATAATTTGCCGTAAAACTATTTTAGAAAAAATAACTATTGTTTTCAGTTTATTTCATCTTTGGATTTAGACGAAATCGAAAATTTAAAGAGTACAAAAATAAATATATTACATTTAACAATATAATAATATATTATTATATATGTAATAGATAACTATCAATTGAGTTTGTTATTCAAAATTGTATTATAATAATGATAAAATAACGCCATATAGCTCGACTTGAATCATTTCTGAAAGATATGACTACAATATTTAAACAATATATTACTTGGATCACATCTAAAAATATTTGTTAACTGTTCTATTCCAAAATGTTCTTTGATGAATTGTGTGATATTCTCATCAGTAATTTCATTGATAGATAGTTCGGTGTTTTCGTACAGCCCAGCCAACAGTTTTAATTGATCACTGTTCAGTCCAGTACTCTAAAATAAAGTTTGTATTATTATAATATATATAGTATATGTTTCTGTCCAACCAACGTGATAATCAGTAAATATTTAATTTTGGAATTTATATTATTTGATGTACTCTTACCCATACTAATGTTATGAAATACACCGCACAGACAATAACAATGCATTTTAAATACATAATTTTAAATATTTTCAAAACAATAACGTGAAATTCAATTAAATATTGTAATAGTACAGCACTGAAGTCAAACGACGAATAAACAGTGATTTATACGGGTGTAATGCTGACAAATGTGCAAAAAAAACCATACAAAATGTAGGCTGTTTAGTGTTTACTAGACAAATACAGCACCGTTGTTTTTTTATTCGTATTATTGTACAATTTTTGTAGCACTGATGTTAAGTATGCAATTTTTTCAAAATGTAATAGAAAGTGTCAGGACGTTAGTGTATGTTGTGCTAACAATACCTTATTGTTCTAAAGAGCAGTACAAATACTCATAAACTTGTGTTAAGCGTAATACATATTATGTTTCAGAAAGACCTAGTAAGTTTTAGGATTTAGAAAATTTCCTACTATATAAAAAAATTAAAAAATTGTCCGTGGATATAATATGGCGGTACTTAGACGAGCCGTCAAAGTTTTAGTATGCCAAAAATTAAAAAAGTTATATTTTCCGCTTATTTAATAAAAAGTTGAATAACTGTTTCTTACCAGAATTTATAATTTATTATTTGTATTTAATTAATGAATAAAATATTTAAAAAATGTGAAAGCCAACGTGCACGCTTATAAAGAAGTTCCTTGATGATTGATATAATATTATAATAAAATACCGTTTTGATATTTTCGACGAATTACTTAGATAAATCGAATATATTATTAATTTGTAATTTGTACTTATTTTATTTGTATCTACGTTTATAGTTCATTTGCTAGTACTAAATGTAAAATAGCTGTGATGATTATTTGTATCTTAGTTTAGAGTTCTTTTGCTTCGATTAATTGTAAAATATACGTTCTGATCCTAATATTTGAATGTATAATACAAATAGTAATAATAATCATAATAAAATATCGTATTGGTATTATCGACACCATTAACAATGATCCATTTATGAGTATTACTGCATAGTGTTCTGGTTTTTAGGGCTGTCCTTATTCCGATAATAGGACATCGAAATTTCTGACTATCTGGATAGTTCCAAACGTTTTTTAGTTTTCGGTTAATTAATGAATATTATTATTTTAATCAATGATTAAATACCGATATCCTATAAATTCTATAAATTTTATAGAAACGAAATGGCACGCACAACGGGCAATTTAATTTCAATCACAAACGAAAATAATCCAGGAGCCGTGCCGATTACAAAAATAATATTGTCCGTTATAGTAGTATTTTTTTTATAATTGTCACCCAAAATCATTTAAAAAATAATAGAAATGTATCCAATATATTTAAGAATATTTAACTAACATTTACTACTACTTGTTTTTTTTTCTATATTTTATCTTCTTATATCAAGTGATTCTTATAACGTCCTACACTAGTTTACTCTTAAAATAATTGCATTTTTGTAGTGTTACTTATTGAAAACATTTTTGTTTATGCTATATTACTATATGAGACAATATTAAAACGTTTATCTTTTTTAGTGTTTTCTAGAGCTTTATCAACTTTTGAAACTTAAATGGTAACGTATATATTTTTTATATTTTTTTAATTAAGAATAAGTTGCTAAACATTTTGACATGTCGATAACCAGTTTTGAATCAATAGTTTTCAAGTTATTAAAGCTTAAAACTTAAGACAGAAGGAAGAGTGGAGAGTAGATTTTTTTTTATCTGTGCGCTGTCTCTGTGCACTCTACCTCCCGTCCTAAATTTTAAACTTTAATAATTATTAAAATTTGATTATCGACCAGTCAATTTTTTTAGTAAATTATTCTTAATTTAAAAAGCTAATTAAATATATACGTTGCTTTATAAGTTTTTTTACGTTAATAGAACTCAATCAAATATTAAAAAAGATTAAAAAATTCAATATTTCCTAACATTGTACTATAACATAAATACAATTTTTTCCAACAAGAACCACTACAATACAAAACTGCAATTGTTTTATGAGTAAACTAGCGTAGGGCGTTAAAAGAATCATCCGGTATACATAATATCTTAAAATATTATATGCGCAGTACGTGAATGCCAATGGCCATTGAAACCAAATATATAGGTGATTAACAAACAATTTTCTTAAAAATTGTAATATTTTAAGTTTTTATATTTTTTAAAATTGTTGAAAATTGGCAATAACCTTAGGACTGGACGTTTCATACTTAATGAATGTCCATAAATGTTTTCTCTTAATTCGAGTTCACAAATTATACCGTGCCTACGACTAAACTAAATAGCCCATAAAAGTTTTTAGTACGGGGCATGCTTTAGCTTAGGCCTCCTAGCTCAAAAACGATACAAAATAGCGTCAAGTAGCGCGTCTACATTAAATGTATCATATAACTAGTCGTCGTCGTCATGCAAATGTTTTGGCAAGTACATATAATTAAAATTTTACTATCGTCATAAATCGCAAGGAGATTATAGATCAGAAATAATCATTATTCAGGAGCCGGCAGGCTAAAGCATGTTCTATGTTTTATAATTTTAACCTTTAGGCTTTAAGTACTGTATTTTTTTTTTTTTTTCCGTTTAATAGAAAATTTTATACGATTTCTGATCGAGATATCTTACTTGATTAAATCGATAACATTGCAAATGAATACAACACATCGTCGTGAAACAGTCAAGTCTAAAATGTAAACATTAATACTACGAGTGGGGGCGTCAGTCTGAACTTGTGTCGGTGTAATGTAAATATGAAATAACATTAAAAAAAAACAACAGCTACGTAAACAAATGAACATAGACACTTTAAAAAATATATTTTGATTTTTCTGTTTCGGTCGTCAAAAAGCCCAAAACACGTCTCAAGAAAATCGCTTCAAAGCAATAGTTTAACAAGCGTTCTAGTTGATATTTTGATTATAAATTCTATCGTTTCTTAATTTAATTAACTAATACTAATCAACATCCAATCCAACATTGTAAGTACATTATGTATATATTTCGTTAAGTTTTGATATTTATTTATTTTTGTAACTGCTCGCGATAACATTCGAACCGCTAAGTCAATTTAATTAAATCGCAAAACTAATTAGAGACATTTCACACATAATACTCGCATACACTATAATGGATTACTATTTTGTAAGATCTAAAGTAAAATTATGTTAGCAATGTTAAAAATCAATTTCAAGAAAAAAAGCACTAAATTTTACCACGTTATTATTTATTAACCTAAAACTACGCCAAGCTGTACTATTCGAAATATAGCCATATCAATTAAAACATTTTTCTAGAGTATATTTTAGATACAGCACACCTAGAATTTGATTTTTGTATTTGAAAATTAGATTGAAGATATATCTAACGTTGGGCTATAATAGCATACATAGTCGTTAGTTATAAATGCCTTACATTAAATTGATCACCTTCTATACAAAAAAAAACATATATAAGCATTTTCCTTAGGTACATAGCATATTGTAATATGTTTTATTTACCTATAAAAAATAGGTCGTTCGATTTTTTGCCAAAAAAAAAAAAAACAATATCACATGTTATTTTGTAGTGGCACTTTATTAACATAGATATGTTATTGGGCTCGAGGGTCAATAGGGTGTTTGATGCCAGGAACATCTGCTTAGGCGCTAGGCGGGCCGTTTCGGAGATGCCTAAGGGCATTTTTATTTAAACGATTAAAAATCTTTATAAATATAAATCAAAAGAGTATTAATACATACATATGAGTAAAATATATATATATATATACATATACAAAACATGTGTGGGGTTCTACTTCCAGTGAAGTAGTCCCATTCTTAATCTTATAATTAGATTAAGTCGAATGGCTTCAGTCGTTTGAGTCGTCTGATGTCTTGCGAGTTGTCGAGGAGTTGTATGACAGCTGTATTTGAGTGAAGCTCCAGTCTTTTTGCGTGTTTATCGAGAAAAACTACTATTTTACTCAAATAGTAATAGTTTATATTTACCCGAGGACCATTTTATATACAAATACCTTCACTGCTCTGCATCGAAGCTAAAACTAAGTTGGGAGAAGGGTAAAAACAATAAAAAAATGTGAAAAATTGAGATCATGTTTTATAAAAACATTATAAAAAATTTCGAATGGTGTGCAAGGCTCTATTAAAGGTTTTCACTTAGGTATTACACATTATATTTTAACAGCTTGCGTAAACATATCAAGTTTCTGGCTAATATTTTAGTGTTTTCATAATATCTGGCCCAAAACAATGCATAGAGAATTTGGCCCCTAAAATTATTGAATTTATTATTCATTTCTATTTTGAACGTTGTGAATACACTTATCGCAAGATAATGAGCGGCCTCAACTGGTTTATGGATTCAGCCAAGGCAAACAAAAAATAAGAAGAATTACTTCAGTAAGGAAATTGTCAAGGGCATAACGGACAAAGCGAAGGCTCTGAAGAGTCTGATCTAGGCGGAGGATAAGGCCAACCTGCTGGAGAACAGGAGAGCGGCCAAGTCCGCACCATCAGTCAAGATGCTTGTAGAGGAGATTACAAAGAGCAAAATTTGTGCGTGTGGCGTGATCTAGCGTTCAAGCTTAAAATTACGTACATTTTTACATTTTTTTTGTGGCCAAATACAAAACATTCTTACTTAAATTTCCAGTATACTTATAATTGTACCTCATAAAAAAAATCATAGTAGTTATATGCACCGTTATGCTATAACATATCCAGGATTCAATGTTTTTCAGGGGAGCGGAGAAAATAATATTACATTTTTTTTTTGTATAGACATTTTTCATGTATTTTCGTTGGATTAGTTATTTTATATTTTAGTACTTATTAATAGTCATATAAAAAAAATAGAACTCATTTCTTAGGAAAAGTAGGAAATTACGCACAAAAAAAAAAACAAAAAAAATCAAGTGACCTCTTTTTTTTTACACATGTATTTTTCAGAAAATTTCATGAAATGATTTATTTTAATTTTTGTAGATGTTTCACAAATAAAAATAAAGAAAACCGATAGACCCTGAGTTTTTAACATTATAAAATAACTATATTTTATTTTGCCCGTAGATTCTTGGTTAGTCTTATTTTAGTTAGGAGTTGTCAGCGGGATGTTTCGAGCCATCCTCGTGCTTGTATTGTAATAATATAACCTCGGGTCTCAGGAGTTTGTAATAATAATTGTAGTCGACACGTTGGTTATGTTAATACTGATTTGTTTATTAATTAAACAAATTTTTAATGAGTTTTCAATTGAATTTTTTTGATTATTTGTGTCATTAGACTACATACAAGTATTTGATAATGTAGGTTAATGAATATTATTATTGATACTTAAGTCTTTTGATAATAATTATATTGATCATTCCACCAGAGGACCCTTTCCTTTTTTCCCTGAGTATAATATCGATGATTTGTTTTATATTTATTTGGGCAGTAGATGTAATTAGCACGGACGGATATTACTATATTTATCTCAGCTCATCTCCACATTAAATCTGATATTGAAATGGTGGCTGAGTCTAAAATAAAAATTATAATAATTATCTTTATTATTATTTGCAGATTAAAATGAAACTTTTATGTATTTTAATATCATTTGCCCTCGTAAATAATTTGGTAGCTGTATTTGGTGATTAATTTTTTTTTGCTCATACCTACACTAGTGAACTATAAAATAAAACCTCAATGTTGAACTTATTTTTACATACAGATATAGATTATCTTAAGGAGGTTATAAAAACAAGTCAGTAAACATTTTTTTTTTTTCATATATCTCAATGTTTTACTATATTTATATAATTTAATTACAGATGCAGACATCGTGATGGCAGCATGTAATATATTTTATTGAAAATTATAATACTTATATAAAATTGTTTTGATATTGTATTTGTCTAAATATGAAATAGTTTTTAAATTAAAAATAATATTTTCTGTAATATGCCAAGATTAAAAATGAATGGGGTGTAACAGTTTGTTAAAATAACAGTGTCACAATATTTAATTTATGTAAATCAAATCACTTACATTTGCAGTCAATGAATCAGTTACTATAATTTAATTAGAATTAGTTTAGCCATAATTGGTGACTATTTAACTCATCAGGGTAGGTAGCGTTTATTAAAATAGTTTCAACTTCAAGCATGTTGTGCTCTTATTCTGAAGACAATTATATTTTTCAAGATTTTATTAAATATTTTTTTTTTGAAAGTTAAGGAATAAATTTACAAAATAATTAAAAAAAACTCTTAACCACAAAAAAAATATAATTATGAGTATACGCATATTTCAGAAGCATCATCTTCGTTTAAAACAAATAATGGACAAAAAAACCTACTTTTATTTTAAAATGAAGTTCTTTATCAAATTATGTCTTGAACAAAAGAATATTGACTAATCTGAAAAGTGTATTATTAAATGCTGTTTACTATTAAAATAGCTAAATTTAATAGATATGGTTTTCAGATTAGTTAATTAACATAAATAGCAAAGGGAACCTAGGACGCTTATTAGGGGAGACCAGCGGGGAAAGTTAAAAAAATAATATGGTCGGGTGTGGATTATTTTGTAGATGAATCAAGGATTTTTAAAAATTATGGTATAAATATAGTTTCATCAAAAAGTAATATTTTAAAATCTTTATTATGTAGTACTTAAGATAAAAAAGGGAAATTTGGGGATGTATACGAAACACTATTTGAAAAATGTGATAAATGCTATGTAAGTCAGAGGAAATCAAATACTAGTGTTAGATTCAAATATTAGATTCAAAGACCACATAAGAAATGTAAAATACAATAAGTGCTCAATTCTCCTATCGTGAAATATTTATTATATACTAATAATAGGATAATATCAGTAAAATTATTAAAAAATGTGAATAACTTTGGAGAAATTAAAATTAGAGACGCAATCGAAATTTTAAAAAAATGTGTATATTATGATAATTCGATTATTTCTTTCTTTTTTTAGCTTATAAAGTAAGGTGTTTCTTATTTTTCAAAAAAGAATATGAATTTAAATTTACGTTTCTTTCTATTGAACCGGTAGGTGATAAACTACCACCTTTTAATCATTCTTGGAGATTGCCAGGAATAGTGGTGAGAATTCATAAATAAAAAGATTAGTGTGATGATGTTCGGTTTCTAAAGCGTTCGGCAGTTTCATTCACGATAGGAATATTAAGGTTTTCGTGAATATAGTAATTATTGAAAACATATTATGGGATTTTAAAATTAGTTCTTACTACTTACGATTAAAATCTATGAATACATTTAGTGTTGGAGATTTTGGCAACTCCCCACAACTGTTTGTAACAATCTAAAACGTTGTATTGCCAAAATTGAATAAATCGAGTTAGACATTGATTCTGTGGTGTACAAAAATCTTTTTTAATGATGCATAACGTGGTATTTCCAATTATTTTTCCAAAACGTGTTATTTTTGTTGTTGGTTCAAAATGTGCTATGTCCTTTTGCATCAATGTATAATAATGTTATCTCCTACTACAAAACGTGCTATTTCCCTATTGTCTCCTTTTGTTTGGTAACCTTTAATTTTAAAGCCAATTATTAAATTAGTTGACTAAATTCTATACATTTTTCAAAGAGGTTCTATAAAATACACTTGCTGGTTGTTTGTTAAAAAAAATCGTGTTCAATTTCAACTAACAGGTACTTGGTTATTCGTGATAAAATTTCAAATTGTATGATATCAACGTATACGGTATGTTATATTACAGTCAATATTTTCGTTTAAATTGTAAATTTTTACATACAAAAATATTACTTTATTACATCTTATTAGTAGGTGCATATTATTAAATAGAATAAGTTCGTTTTGAATTAAATCTGCTTATCACTATTAAAATGTGCTATTTCCAGTCTGTTTTTCAAAACGTACTATTTCCGGAAATAGTACGTTTTGCGGCGGCAAACTTAATAAAACAAAGTGTAAAAAATCACCTAAGTAAGTGTAAATAATGAAATTTTTATTTAAAAAATTGAATCTTTTCGCTATTTTACATCCATAAAGTTCATAATTTGTAAACATTTATTTATATTGTGGTTGAAACAGAAAACTCGATTTTATGAAAATTGTCATTTTTGAAAATACAACGTTTTGGATTGTTACCCTTAAAAGAAGAACTTAGACAGACCTATAGAAGGAATCGATTAACTAATAAAGGTTTAAGGATTAGAAAATAGTGACTAGGTAAGAACAGTTTTAATTTGTATAATAGACCGTCGTGCCAGACTCTATCGGAGGCTTGAAAAAGCAAGTGTAGTAGCTTTTCTTTTTTGTATCTTAACATATTTTACGTAGTACATAGTGAGGATATAAAATATATTAAATCAGAACATTGTAATAGTAGACAAAAATATTCACTAATAATTTTCAAATACATTTTTACTAATGCAAACTGGTGCAGTATTGTAACGAGCTGACCTGTATAGTTGCATAGCCCATATTAGTAATACCCGTTACAGTATAAAGTGTTACACCACGTTGCAAGCATAATATTATATTTAAGATGTAAAAGATCCTATCGGCTTATGATAATAATTAAAATGAAATGTAAAATTTCTTGATTCCACTTGGTCGATAAATATGAAGAATATAGCGTCTATAGTGGTTTTACCTCCTGTTGTAGCCGCCGATGTATTGTCGGACTCAGCGTGGCATAAGAAGCTACACTTCAACAGCTCGGTAAACTGAGACTTAAGTCAATTCGAAAAACATTGACTGAAACTTGAAAAAACATGTGTTGACAAGGCGTCATTATTTAGGTTTTTGTATAGTTATAAGATGAATAGTTTGCTTGAAATCAGACTTGTTCGATGTGTACATTTTTCGAAGTTAAGGTTTTTTAAAAATTATATTGTTTCATTTCATTGTTTTCTAGTTTTTTTTTCATAGCTCAAACTAATAAAATTTGTTTAATCTAGGTGTATTGCCGGAAATAATTCAAAACATTGTTTGCGGAAAATATTCGATAAGTAATTCGAAAATTCTATAATAATTGTAAAGATAGTAAAAAAAAATGTCTATTAAAATGATATAGAAATAAAGAACAACAGATTTTATTTATACTAATTTATCAGTGATATAAATCGTATAATTTAATCTAAAATCCAAATTAAATCATTCTAACAAAAAACGCTGATGTTACCTCATCCAACCTTATATCTTAATTATTTTTTGGTTTAGTCGTCACTTCTGCTTCAACTCAGTCATTTAATCACAATATTATTTACTCAAATAAATATAATAGACACATTTTTTCGAATTTACAAAATATTCGTATTTTCCCCATAGTATCCATCATCTCGTTTATAGTTAAAAAATTAAATCTAATGTTATAAAATATTACATAATTTACGTTATGTTAATTTCAGAGGAAATGAATTTGATGTTGGCATTACCGGGTATTAATTTTCTTGACATTTCCATGAAAGAATTTTCAGATAGTTATGTGTACAAGTATGAAATGTTTTAATTTTAATTTCAGAAAAACATATTAATAGCCAAACGCCTATGTCCTCTGAGGACGAAGATGGTGAGTGGAGTAGTTTAGTACGATTTTCAATGATTTAGTAAAAAAATTGTATTTAATAACTTTTTATTTGTATAATGTATATATTGCTCGACGGAATGTACATATTTCATAATCAATAATTAAATAATTGTATACTTGAAATTTTGGATATATGAACAACTATTTATATGATAAAATGTATGCGCATTAAATGACTATTTGTCCGTACTAATTGACTGAATGGTTCATGAATTACTTTATTTAGAATACATTCTTATCATCATATTATTTGTTATTAACCGTAGTCTCTGTTTGAGCTGTAGATGTGCCATTTGTCACGATCATCATTTATTTTTGTCACTATTGAAAACGATAATTAAGTCTCTGTTACATGCACAATAATACTACAGCCAAGTAACTTCAATAGCTGTGTCTGAATATATTAAAACAAATTTAATAAATTCCTTTATTAGTTATGTTATGTTTTTGATAACTAAAATCTCTGTGTATGTAAGAAAGTAAACAGGTGGTGGTTTGATGGATATTATAGTCCAGCTGACTAATGCGTTCGGCACTTTCTTTATATCGATGTCTGTAATTAGGTATTTGTGTACATCACAGAATAACTGCGTTATTCTGTGTATGTATTAAAATTTCTTAAGGGCCCACTTTTCATTTTGCACAATGAAAATCTTTATATATTATTATTATTGTTTACACAGTGCTCGGTAAATGTTTCATATTTATTGAGAATAATTACATACTTACATACTGATTTCAATCATAATTAATTATGTACATTAAATTGATTTTGTTTTGTTTTTTTAGATATGTTACGGATCCAGAAGGACATGCGATTAGAAATAAGGAATAGACTAGGTAAATAATATAGTATTTTCTGTACTATAGGTACTAACAATTATTAAATTGTATATAATGTAGTTTTTTGTTTTAACATAATAATATATTTTTATTTGAAATAATACAATATAAATATTACACAAAAAATACTCGAGGAGTAAACCCTTCACGAGGGGATGTATAGTTATGTATTCCTTGTAATTACACTTAAGTGTGTGATTTTAAATAATAAATAAATAACAACGATAAGTTTTCGATATTTTGGTTACAGGTGACATTACTTCTGAACTACACGAAAGTAATTAAAATCATATTTTAATTTTTTGGTGGTTTTGCTTAATAAATCGCTTATATACAAGTTAACCAACCGAAGGGTGTAAGAACTGAATTTTGAGGGAGGCTATTCTCTAGTATAAATAAACTACCAAAATAGAGTCCTAATTATTGAACTACTAATTACACATCACAGTTTAACCTTTAAATTAAGATTTTGTTAAAAATTGCCTACACTTTACTCCTTAAAAATGGGCGGTGCGACGCTCTCTTAACATTACACATTTTGGCTCAATAAAGTACATTTTAGGTACAAAAGGCGGGTTGTACTAATATTGGCAACACTACAATTCTTTAAAATGTAATGCAACTTTACGAATAGCAACTCATTTTTTTGTTTTTATATTTGTTATTAAGGAGGTTATAAAGATTGGAGTATGTCAGCTTTAGGAAATCAAAGAAGACATAAAGTCAGCGAAGCCGTTAAAATATTAATGAATCTTGTAATAAGTAAATATGCCTATAGAATTTTTTACCATTTTATTTATACATTTTCGTATAAACGTATATGCATACAATTAATCACTTATCTTATTAATTTAACTTTACAAATTAGTAAATTTGTACAATCAATTTAACAAATTAGGTCAACTTATAAAAAAAGTTACATCGCATTAAATAATTAAATTATTTAAACAGTTACTGAGGTACAAAGAAATAAAATAATAATAAATTTACAGACATTAATCCTTACTACAGTAACGCACAAACTAATACTCTTTTAATAATATAAATACAGCGCTTACACAACATGGTTATTGACTAGGCTATTTTATCCAACATAAATTTAGTAATAACGTTAAAATTAGACTTAATCTTTTCAATTTGATTCTTGTTCATTGCCTGTATAAAATCTCTTTTGGGTAAATCTTTAACAGCTTGGCATATTATCTTTAAAGATACATACATTTCATTTATAACTGTCTGTGACCAAACAAAAAGTACAATTATTTTATTTTTGTATTGATATTTAGAATTTAGACCTTGCTAATTTAAAGGGTAATACAAATTAACTAATATGTTATAACTAGAGTAGAAATTTGTATGTAATATATAAAATTTAGTCGTCACTAACACCTTATTTTCTTATAATATAAATGCACTACAGAGTTATTACTTAAAAAATATTGAACTTCAATTTACAATTACAATATAATTTATTTACAGACACATACATCGAGCAAGGCAGGCAGACTTTATACATTCACTGAAAGCTGCATTGTGGTACACATTTAATTTATACGTTTTTAATTAACATAATAAATGTCTTGATGCATACTTGTAGCCTTTCATCCCTTGTAAGGGGACGCAAGACCCTATTGCCTCTATTCATTATAAATTGTTATCCGTTTGACTTACAACTGGAATGTATTGTGTGTACCAAAATTCAGCTTTCGCGTAATTAGTTCCATTCTTTTTCCTAATTTGACTGGACTATTAGACATAACTGTTTTGATATATTTGTCCGATTATAAAATAATTTTTAAATTAACAAACTTGTTTTCCAATGACAATGTTTTTTTTTAATAAAAAAGTTTCTGAGTTAATTATAACCTTATTATCTAATTAACCATTTACGGGTTTTCTTTTTTACAATTTTTATAAGAATTATAAAAATTCTTTATATAATAATTTTCATCAGTGTTCTCCTCACTGACAAATGTCATTGTGTGAAAGTAACATACCCATAAAGAATACAGATAGCCTACATATAATTATTTTTCTAGAAATTATCACTAACATATATAAGTTGTATCTTGAAAATAAAAAAACGTAATATTAAATAAGCAAAATTTAAAATGTTTATATTTTTTTTAAGGTGGAAATAGCCCTTACTTCAAAGTGGATATGACCCATTTTCCCAACATGTGTCGTTTAATTGCATTGTACCAAGCTCTCAAAAACCCAGATGCATTTATAGAGTTGGATGATGCTAAAGTCGAGAATAAAATTTGTTTAATAAGATATGTAAACGGGAATGTTATTAAGTACAGTAAAATTGGTGATGATATTTTTCGACTTAACAATATTGGGAATCCATTTCAGCCACTTTCTTTTGAAGTGACTTATTTGTACCAGAAATAAGGACAACTTATTTTATTATTATTATAATATATATATATATATATATAAATAATTTTTGCATATCTTTTATTATCAAAATTGTCAATACATTGAATGTGATTAAAAATAAACAGTTTTAATCAAGACTATATGAAAATTTTTTACTAATATATTGTAACAATAATGTTATTTATTTCTTTTTCACGTGTATGGTTAATATTATAAAAAAGTCATGAATATTCCATTTTTAATCTATTTTGTATGAAGTCACATATTACATATTTTCTATCTTCGTATCACACTTCTTATTAAACTGTATACAACATGATTATTTTATCATAAACCAGTCAATATCTCACTGAGTTTAATTAATAACTACATTTTTTTTTATTGTGCTTTTATAAAACGTCATCTCAATTTTTTAAAAAATTTTTGTTTTTACCCCCCTCCTAACTTAGTTTTTTTGATAGCAACTTTTGAAACTTAGATGGTAATGTAATTATTTTATTAACTTTTTAAATTGAAAATAATTTACTCAACATTTTGACTGGTCGATAACCAGTTTCGGACAACTATTTTTAAAGCTATAGGAGTTTATAAGTTAGGATGGGAGGGAAAGTGCGGTTGGGAAATGCGCGCAGATAAAAATAAAAATACACTCCACCTTCCCTCCTACTCTAAACTAGAAACTTCAATAACTTCAAAAATAGTTATCCGAAACTGGTTATCGACCAGTCAAAATTTGTAGTACATTATTCTCAATTTAAAATGTTAATAAAATATTTACGTTGCTATTTAAGTTTCAAAAGCTGCGACCAAAAAGACAAGTTGAGAGGAGGGTAAAAACAAAAAAAATTGTGAAAAGTTGAGATCACGTTTTATAAAAACAATATGACAAAAATAATTCATTTATTAATTAAACGCAGTGATATATTGACTGGTTCGTGATAAAAGAATCACCCTGTGTATATACATTTTTTTGTGTCTGGACCCACGATATCTTTTGAACCGATATCTTGTGTAACAACTCTGTCGATTAAGAATACCTAAAAGGCACTATTTTGGGATAAAATTAAAAAAATTCACCCACTTTCTTTTTAAAGTCGAGAATAATTTCCAAAAAAAAAAACAATATATTTCTACTTAAAATTAGGATGTTGAATAATTTAAAAAGGCGAATTAGTTTCAAATTTGTATGGAATATTTTTGCGTGTAGTACTACCGATAAACTTTGAAAACCCCAAAAAAACGCTTTTATAAACCCTTTTACCCTAGAAGGGATAGAAATATTTTCTTTATTCTACTTTTTCAAGTAAACACTAAGGATTTAGATCTAAAAATTAGACCAAAAGTAGACCTAGAACGGACCTATAACATATACAGCTTTCTCAAAAATCTGTAGTCAAATTGTCTCAAGCATAATATAATATAGGAAGTGGGATCCATTCACTTAACAAATAAAGTATAAAATACTCATATGGAATTCAGCGCAGATTGTTAAATATTTACGTAGACAGCAACAGCTGGTTAACTGACCAAATTTTGACGGGATAGAGTAGAAAGCATTTAAATATTTTAACCATTTTAAAGTGCCGTTACCGTGTAATTATATGAAAGTTGCTCGCTAAAGCAAAATTCCCCATATATTATAAGTAGGGACGTTAGTGTTTATATTTGGTCGTTTAAAATCTGTATGATCAAATTACATTATTTCAAAACCGACTGATAAATCTTTCGGACAAAGCCTGTAAACTTTAAATCAGGGCGTAGCCGTCTTTGGCCTGATTGGGTTTTGCATTCGTGTGTAACATAATATTGTATGTATTGGAACAATTTACTTAACAAATAAGGTATAGTACTTTTGTGGGATTCAGCACAGGTAGCGACAGTAAGTAGGGCACGTTTTGCGTCATACAAAACAAACGATATGCTCTTCTACGCAAATTACAAGTACAACGATATCATCAAATTGTGTAAAGATAAGTATACACACTATGTAGACTAGGGTGGTCCTTAGTTATAGATGAAGAATTTTTTTAAAAAGTTTTTCATTGGGCTACCCCGCCATTTTGTTCATTACTATGAAAAAAAAATTTGGGTAGAATTTGGTTTTGATAACTCACCCCCTTCACGTGCCGCAAGGGGGTTAAAAAAATGACCAAATGGGGTAGTTTTATAGTTTTTCGAGTTTAAGTAGAAAGCTATTGCATTTAGCATAAAATTACATATTAACTTTATGATAGATCATTAAATTCTCTATAAAAAAGGTTCCTATACATTTTTCAAAAAATGCATTATTGTCCAAGAAAAAAAACAAAACATACCTTTTTTCATTTATTTGGAAAAACTGGTTTTCTACGGGTATTTAAATATTTGAAGAGACAAACATTTTTTTATAGGAAAAAATATGATTATTTTATTTTGTTCCCGGGTCGATTGCTATATTTTTTTTTCTAACGATAATTTTCGTTTTTCACAATATATTTGTTTTAAACGATCTTTAAATAAAAAATGGTTGATCGTACGAAATTTTTCCTTATAGTCTATTTTGTAGGAAATGTAATTTTTTATAAAATGCATTGAAAGCGTTTTACTCTATTTCCAATCGTTTATCAAACATATTTAAATACCCGTAGAAAACCAGTTTTCCAAATAAATGAAAAAAGGTATGTTTTATTTTTTTTCTTGGACAATAATGCATTTTTTGATAAATGTATAGGAACCTTTTTTATAGAGAATTTAATGATCTATCATAAAGTTGATATGTAATTTTATGCTAAATGCAATAGCTTTCTACTTAAACTCGAAAAACTATAAAACTACCCCATTTGGTCATTTTTCAACCCAGTTTTCAACAAAGTTATCAAAACCAAATCCTACCCAAATTTTTTTTTTATAGTAATGAACAAAATGGCGAGGTAGCCCATTAAAGTTTTAAAAGTTCATAAATAAGAACCACCCTAATGTAGACGTTCAAAAACAACAGCATAGTCATTAATAATAATGTTTTTTATATAAAGCAAAATGTAAAACGTTTTATAGAACATTGTGGTATTGTATTTTTTTTCGATTTCAGTATAAAATAGGATTGATAATAATCAATTTTTTTTTTTAAATATTCTTTAATGAATTTAGCCATTGTTAAAATGCTTTTCACAAAATATCATTTTGCGTGCATAGTTTTCCTACTAGCCCAAGCGTGGTCGTTATTTAGCAGTGGAAAAAGGGAAAAACATTGTAGAGGCCTTGCCCCCCCCACATCGGAAATTTGGACTTCTTTAAACGTCATCGGACTATGCTTAAGGAAATGACCAATTTGAATCCATTAAAGTGTAATAGAGAATTAAAAAAAATGTACAAACAAATATTTTATAACATGTTTTCTATTTACTAAATTATTAGCAGTCATAAAAAATTAAATAATCTATTGATTATTGACAACCGTTTATCCCCTATGGAATGTTATGTATGTATATTGTAATATAAAAGTGTATTTACGTAATATTCTTGTGATAGAGTATCTCTTAATATTATTTTAAAAAATATATATTATATTGTAGTGTCTGAAATATTTTTCAAATACGTGTTTGGCTTGCAATAAACAAAAAAGTACTAAAAACTTTACAAAATATTGGTATTTATTTAAAAATTTTTACAACAACGGACAAATGTTTTCTTGAACCCATTAAAGAGGTCAGATATGTAAGAACTAGATGTATATCTGAATAGGTTACAACGTTTACTTAAAAATATATGAAAATCAACAACACCGTCACCTGAAAAAATTAAAACATTAATCAACAACAATGTTTACTACAGTGCTATTCTTAATTATTTACCGTTTTGATATTGTTCCTTGGTAAGGTCATTCAATGACAGAAACTCCTTGTGTAATTGTTCCATCTAGAAGTTTTAAAAAATACCTTATATTATGATACAATGTAATAACACAAAATGCGTATGATTATTAATCGGTATGGTTTAATTTATACGCGAATCTATTCGTATACTACATACTTTAATATTCATATATTTAAGTACTAAAATAATAAATAAAATATTAAAAGTACAATTCGTTATGCGAATGAAAAACATGACATCATATAATATAGGTAAAACGTTTTCTAAAAGTTATTAATTAATTGATGATTACAGAGATTAAAATTCAAAAAATTATGTTTTTTTTGTCTTAGAAGAACATGTTCAAAAAATATGTTAAAATGTTATTGTTGCTAATTTTTCAGGACATAATTTAAATTATATCTTTCCGTGTGGTAGTATTATTACCATTCATAGACAAAATGTAAAAAATATTAAAATTACAACTAATTACCCGATCCGAAGCCTCCAACATTTTCACTATTTTGCTGTACTCCGCCCATTCAATTTCTGATTGTTCTGTAAACGGTTTGTAGAAAATTAAAAAACAAAATTCAATAAGTAGTTAAATTTTTTATTACCGTTAAAACCAACAAGTTTGAGTACTACTAAAACTTCGTTTTTGTCTATGAAAATTTCCGAAAAAGTGTTCGCTATCATGTTAACGAAATTCTCACTTGAAATTTTGTAATTTTGATTCTCCTCTACGCCTCCTCTCTTAAAAAAATATAAGAAGATCATATCATGTCATTTAAATAACGACTTTTATTGGTCAGGTTTAGATACAAAGAATATCATACAGGATATTTTATTAAGTATAATACACATCTATTTGTAGTTCTTTCTTTTTGAGACAATATTAATTTACAATATTAGACTACACAAATATTTGTATTCTTCCCGTTAATCAATCAACTTTAGTAACTTAAATGATGACTTTTATAAACAATTAACTTTTTTAAACGGGAATATTTTGCTGAGAATTTTGTCTGGTCGATAATACGGTTTGGATAATTACTTTTTTAGTTATAAAAGTTCTAATACTTCAAACTTCTCTATCCTCATCTTTTCTTCTCTCAAGTTCCTAGCTAAAAATTAATACTTTAGATTTTTTAAGTCCATTCAATAGTTCCATTCAAAAGTTAATAATAAAAATTACATTTTTCTAGTACAAAATCGTCAATGATCACAAAATAATTTA